ATAGAAAGAGCATGCTATTGTAATAATTAATACATGTAGCAATTTTATAACTGCTGCTGTTGTTCCTGTTCATAATGTCAACGTCAATAGTTGAAACAATATTGTTATTTACTTGAGATCCAATGCAAGGATAGAAAATATATCAAATAATACTAATATTTTTTTATCGATTATAATTATATAGTTTTCTTTACAGGACCGAGGAGACATGGCCTTTGTGTTTAAAATGTACTTGGTGTTGAACGATAGACGCCATGCTTGTGGGCTCAGTTTTGGTCACCGGTTCAATTCATTTAATTGAAACGCGCACAGAAAAACCAGTTTGACTGAAGAAAACCGGTCTTGACTAGCCCCAACTCTTGGGCTATCGGCAGATCAAAGAAATTACAAGGTTCCGGCAGAGTGTTATTTCCTTCGCGAAATTTTTTACTGAGATAAGGTAAATAACACCCTGTTCGCAGGGTACAACTGATATAAATTATTTAAAAAAAGAAACTGAGCTCGAAATCAATCATCTCGTCATCCCAAATGATAACAAAAATTTTACACACATCAAGTTTTCAAAAGGTAAAAGTCATTAGATTTTTCAAAAATTTTCAAAAGATTGATTTTTACTTGCTCTTTTGGAAAATTCAAACAAATATAGGGCTCTGTGCAAAATCAGAGAGCTTCATCCTTGCAAGGTTCATGCATTTTATTAACTTTTAATTATTGGCATGCATTTTATTAACTTTTAATTATTGGCTTAAGAGTTCAGCCACCTCAAACAAAATATTCATGGCAGAGACCTCAAATTCTCTCAAACCTCTTGGGTAGGGTGATAAAGATACTTCCACTTTGAGTGCAATGTTGCCAATCCTGCAATGAACTTTTATTTTGCAACTTGAATGAGAGCTTTGAAAAGTGCAATTGCCTCTTGCCAATTGTTTGGTTTGTCTATGACAGCTGTTCTTGAGCATAATCAAAATATTCCTCATAGATATTCTTTTCTGGCTAAACAACACGATGTTGCAATGCATGATTCATTTCAACTAATAGAGTTTTTCTGTATCCTTTGTTTCACAGAGACCTCTGTGTTATGGTGACTGAGCATATTTGCATAGATTGAAAGTATGTAATCATCCGACCGTATAATAAAGTTATTTGTTCGCTTGTCAGGCAAGCATTAAGTTGCAAACATGCCACCGCCACCGCCTGCGCCTACTTTTATTTTTTCAATTTTTGCTTTTCTGTTTGAATACATGAGTATAGTCCGACGAGTTGTTCCTCCCCCACCGTCAATGGATATAATAACATCAGTTATTCAAAGGATTCTCTATCTCTTAGAGCAATTCAACGTACCAGTGCATACCATTTTACGTCGTAATTTCGATGGAAACGCTTGGAGAATTCTTGATCGAAGTGTCTGGAATACTATGGTAGTTAATCCTGGAAATGTTTGGCTTCTAACGGGGGAGACTCCCTAGAGCTTGTCCCAAGTAATAGCACGAGTTGGAACTGACMTTGAGTCACGTGTTCGAAATCCTTTGAATCCACGGAGACGTGTGAGGCGTACAAGACCATACGCGCTTAAAATTCGTCCTTCAGTGTCATTCATGCAGCTACCATGTGCGATCGTCTGCGATTATATCGGAAACCAGGCTTTAAATCAGACCGGTTTGGCGTAAACATGATGATGCAACTCTTAATCACACAGTCCAAAATCTAATTCGATAACCTGTTAAATGTCTATGGTTTTTTCTTATTATATTTACCATTATTTGTTAATTACTATTGGTTACAGCTTGCACCAAACTACAAGTACTCGGCTCATTCGTACAAATGACTCTGATTTTGGTATATCTTGATGAATTATTMACTTTCGGCACGATATAGAAAATGAAGAGTAACTGCGCATACATGGCCGCAGATCGAGCTGTGCCGATCAGTATAGAAAAATATATAATAAACCAAAACTTAGAATTAATAACTTAACATAATGGCCCGATTGGAAACCTATGTATGGATTTTGGTAATTCCCTAAATGACAAAGGTTAATCCTACAACTTTTTTTTAGTAAAGTTTCTAAAGTTACACTGACACTGAYTCAACTGAAACGGCAGAGTGCTTTAGTCAAACTAAACGGACTGTACTTACATATATTTACGTCATCATTGGTCAGTCGGGCTCTTAATAATCTAGGTGACATCACTTAGATAATAAMTAACCAATAACCTATATTTCGAGTTTGATTAAAAGCACTTTAGTAAATATTGTTGTTTATCACTGTCTGAGTCGGTTAACGAAAAGCCCTGACTCGCGGCACTTTTCTTCAAATATTTCCTGTGCATTTTCGCGGTCATTAATCCAACACTCAGTAGCGACTCTGCGCGGTTATGGAGATTCTTGAGAGGGTCCTTTCCCTTCTTTAGCTTTGCTTTCTTGCCAGGTGGTGAGTCAGGAGCAGATGGGGCCGCTTGTACCACTTCATTGTCKTCATCTGTGGGTCCATCTGATAAAGCAGTAAGCTCTAGTATATGGTCATCATCCGAGTCCTCATCCTGGTTTAAGGGGTCTACCTTTTCCGCTTCTTTGATGTCCCGCACGACCTTTATTACCTCTTCGGCCGTGCCTGCTTCCCCTGAAAGTACGTGCCGTTCCCCCCTGGTATTAACCTCGCGACTGTTTCTCACTTTCCTAGTCCAATATTTCCTAATCGGTTTCTGATTGACTTAGTATGTTGTTTGTCGTCTATGTTCTTGAAGGCTATCTCGTATGTCTCGGCCACATGTTTGGTCAAAAGGTCCTTGTACTTTACAACGAAACCAAGTATCTTCTTCCAATCATTGCCGCATTTTTCAACAGCTTTTCTGCAAATGTTTATTTCATCGTCTGTGATAGCATTGCGCTGCCTTGTACCAGTTTTCGTCCCAGCAGGCTGCTTTCGCTTGCCTAAATAAGAAAAATAACATCAAATAATTAAGGTTTTGAGTATCACCTTCGCCTTTTTAATTAGAATCAGGTAGAATCTCTCTTTWGACCCCGTCCACAGTGATAGTTGGGATAGCTMTAGATAAAAGGCAAAATAACTAGCTATAAAAAAAACATGAAGCGAGATATGATAATTTTGCGCTTCATAGTTTRCATGCACGTGAACTYTGCTGAATGGTTTCCTCAGTRCAAATTTGCTTCAAATTATAGGTTAGAAATGATAATACAAGTCAGTATTATTTGAATTTACTGCTCGCTCAGCTAAAATCCATATATTCATATTCAAATACTAGAAAGATAACAATAACTGCTTCAGTGTTTGGCAGCTAGCATGAAAATGTAAAAAGTTTATTCGACATCTGAAAATTAGTATAACTTGTACAGACGTCAACATACCTCTAAAATATTTCTCAAACAACTCGTCGCCCGTCATGCCGTCRTCCTCATCGAATTCAGCCATGATAGTGTCCTACGCAGACTTCGAATTTGAAATTCGCGGCCTTAAATATGGGTATGGTTGAGTGAACACACGTTAATTAACATGTCACACTTTTCTAATTATCATAATAACACAGACCCTTTGTTTTTCACATATGTGCACAGAGGATACAGAAAAACTCTAATGGCACTTCCATCTTGAGATTTTGGTTTGCTCCATGAAATTCAGGAGAGCTGGGCGGCCATGTGTAGTATTATGCCTCGACCTGCGTATTGTGTGTGTATTCCAATGATCTGTTGCATAATCAAGTTCCTTCTGGATAACATTGTTGAAACAGAACCATAAACATTCCATAACAAGTTCTGATGAAGTGTCTATTATCCTTTGGAACTCTAAATCTGTGAAAAACCTTCTCCACCAGATAGAATGTCTTTTTGAGAAACATGACCACCATCCTTCAATTCTTTGGTTGCGGGGTGATGATACATACCTGTGTGCAGAAAAATCATCACGAAAGAAACTCTGAATTGATGCAGATAAGCCATTTTCTGTACCTAAATCTGTTATTAAGTGTATTGGACAGCCTCCAACAGCAGAAATGGTATCAAGAAAAAAGGATGCAATGTTGTCTGGAGAATTATTGGACCTTGTCACCTTGAGCCACAGCATCTTTGGACTGAAACCATCAATTCCTCCATCAATTGGAAATCCCCAGTGTTTTAATTTGATTTAATCCATGAGCCAGCGTAGTTTGGTCCAGAGTTGTTGTAGTCTCTTCTTTTTGAACGGTTTCTTTTTCTTTGTTTGATCCTTCTGGATCCAATTCTTTTAGCAAATCCTATACGATTTTCCTGGGCACCACAATGCCTTCCATTTTCAGTGTATGCCATATGGCTCTATAGCCCATAGATGATGCTTTAATCAGCTCACTTATGCGTTCATGAACCTTCTCAGACGTCGTACTGAATCCTTCTTGATTGGTAATACCACGCCTTGACAGCCCATATTGTTTAAGTCTCCTTAAAGTGTACAACGACTTATGGGATGCTGATGACGTTCACTAAGAAAGTGCAGGATCTCATCAGAAATAATATCTGATGACCTCTTCTTCATTAAAGCTGTCATCTTCTTGACAGCTGAAGGCTTCATCATCTGTGCTTGAAATATCTGCACTTTCGTCATCTGACTGAACAGTAGACGCTAAAATACCAGTCAAAATACACGTTAGCAATGACCAAATATATAGATAAATAAGAATCAATATCTTACTAACCTTGGCAACAAAAACTACACATAGTCGTCGCTTGCGAGGGTAAGAAAGAACCACAAAATTGACATGAATTCGATCCAGTCGCCATATTTATCTTCTTCATGGACACTGGAAAAAACACTGACAAATTGCTCGCGGTGGAAAAGCAAACCAATACGTCTGTTGAACTTTGTGTTTTGCCGTGAGCTTTGTTTGTTTTGCCGTGATTTTTTCGTGTTTTGCCGTGAGGTTTGTTTGTTTTGCCGTGAGGTTTTCGTATTTTGCCGTGAGGTTTGTTTGTTTTGCCGTGAGTTTTTCGGTAGCGGCTATTTCGCCTAACTCAGAACGACGTCCCGAAAATTACGTCATCATCGTGTCATCGTGTTTCCGACGAAGATCAATACCGACGTTTCCCGAAGTTGAAAGGAAAACAATGATGGCGTCTACAGACCAGTACGGGGAGGACAGGAAACTTATCGAAACTAAAAGAATATCGTTTGTATGCATCAGTTTTAAATACATGTGCCCTCTATAGTGGAAGTATACTACACAGATAGTTTTGGTACATCTTTGAATCGATGGAAATGGAACTTTGCCGTCGTTGTTCGTCATTTTATTCGCAAGAGGACATCTTCAGAAGGTAAATTGTACACAGACTGTTTAAAAGAAATGCACCCAAATGGCGTGAGAAATTGATTATTTTTCTTAGTATGTAGTTTTGCTGAATTTGTTTGGGTTTACCATTCGTTTTGTTTCCTGTTTTTGTTAACTAATAAGTTAAGCTTAAAGTTATAACTAATTAACTTAATTAAGTTAATCTTATTTTGTTTTGTTCTTATAAGTAACTTAACTTAAACCTTAAGTTTATTTCTTGCTACTATTAGTTCTATTATTCAAAAGCTTCAGTCCAGAACACTGGGAGTGGAGAAAATTTAATTAACTAAATTAATGCCTCCATCTGGAATTATGGGATATCCAATATCCATAGAGTGCATCATCAGTATCAAAGTGAAGACAACACATCCTTTAAATTTTGTCTCATTGCAACAATTTCACTGTGATAGAACYAGCCAAGAAGTGACATCTGCGGAACCACCTTTTTGAATGGATGCTGTTTAAAGAATATAAAAGKGGTGAGTTTTGAAATAATACAATGAGATGTATGCATRARAATAGTCTACCTTRAGAAAAGATTCTGCAAATTKCAAAGCATAGACTCCGCAATCAACACAATTTGGTTGCTGTGGTACCTAAATAAGTGATGGAATAGTGATAAGAAGACAGTATACACTTCATACACTACCCTAGAATGATGTGTTTCATCAATCAATAAACAACTAATATGTATTTCGTTGGCTTAGTGGGCTTTTAGTGGGTAAATAACTCGAATAGAAGAACAGTCAGGATTTAATTTGTACTTTTCTTTCACTTCTTCCTCTAGAAAGCTTTTGAATATTGCCATATAGTGATTAGATTGAACTCATAAGAATTCTTAGCATCAAAAAAATATTATTATTAGTTGTAATTTGCATGTCTTACCCTTTTCTTAACTGCATATTCTCTGAGCTTTGTTACTTTCCCATTAGTCTGATTCATTGAGTCCATTACAATTATAGCTGGGCTAAAAGACATTGTTTGAAACAGACATTTATAACAGCATTGTATATAGCAATTTAGATTTAAAATCACAGTAGTTACCATTGATAACCATTTGCTGTAGTAGTTATTAGAGCACCCATGTTCCAAAGAATAACAAGTATCCAATGGTCTCTATGACGAAAGAATAACATCACAACCAAGCATAACATAGTTATATCAAAACATAACATAAGGTACATAACTTTATATATTCAAACAACAT